TGAAGCGTCTTGTTGGTAGCGTATGGGGCTGTGCGCGTTCAACTCTAAACACCACTTACAAGATGTTTATTCAGCCAATAATGTTGTATTGCTGTGAGCCACTCATTACAGCCACAGAGGTGACTCTCAAACCACTCGAGAAGGCACACAACCAAGCATTACGACTAATTACTAGAGGGATAAAATCAACACCCATTGATGCAATGCTCCTAGTTACAGGAAGCACCCCAATAGGTTCCCTTATCAAAGAGAAGGCCTTGATCCTGTATGAGAAGCTACTGCGCATTCCCATGGACAAGTTCTTCAGCACCTAAGAGAATGGACCAAGACACCTGAAAACGCAATCTGGTTTAATACAGAAAGCCATAGAACTGAAGAAAGCATTACAAATCGATGACAAACCAAAAAGCCTCTCTCCCCCCATGAACCCATTAGCAGACATTGATGTAGTTGACACATTTGCTAAGAAGGGGACAACGATTTTGCAATGCATGGATCGGGCGATGTCTTTCCACACAATGAAGGCCTTAATCAGGAGAGAATTCCAGACCTCAAGGTGCAACGAAATTAAAGCTCGAACAAAGGAGAAACAGTGGACAGTAGCAATCTCCAAAATACCCGACTGGCCAAGAATCGAAGCCGTTGCTGAGTTTAGGCTACGTACCGGACACGATTGCTTGGCAAAACACCTTCACGGATTGGGATTATACCCTCAACCGACATGCCCTCTATGTAACCTACAGGAGGAAATGGATAAGACCCACCTGATTCCGTGTCCAGCCCTAAAGGCAAGTACGGAAAGCCAAAGATACTGGGAAGCAAGAAGACAGCTAATGAATTGCTATTAATTAATTGCTATAAATGTACCACCCCCTTCTTGGGTGAAGCTGAAGTCAAAGATTAAGGGCTAATGATAAATATCATAAAGCCTGCCATTTGAAATAAATAAATAAAATAAGTTCGAAATCAACTGTCGAGTTATTGATTATTTTGTCACACAATTATACGCTGCGTAGGGTGCACCACGCGGAGTTAGATCTATTGCACTCCCATAACTTATTAAGTTGAGTGACAGGTTTATTTCGGTGTTCCTTCTGTGGTTAAATTATTATCAGTTGACAACAGCTAAAGACAATCCAACCTCCCTTTTAAGCAAATTTATCATTTCAAGCCTTCTACCAAACATCTCCAACATAGCTGCCCACTACGCCACTAGCGAGAACTCACTCAATTTTCCAATTGGTAATGCGATTTACTCACCAACAAATGTCATCAAGGCGAAATCAAACCGATTACGGCATGCAACAAGATTGAAGAGGGTAGATAAGTCCTTCTATTCGTGAAACATTGAAGACGGCCTCCGTTTGATTAAGTAGCCATAGAATAATTGCCTTCTAGAATGTAACTAGCAATCTCTCAGATGCTTTGTTGAACGGCATCAATGACTGATTTTTATTTATATTTTCTCACGTCATATAATTAATCATTAAGACTATTAGTCTCATTGATGGAAAGTGTGAAGTCATACTTAATTTGACAAGGCAAATAGTAAGAATTAATGAATTGTTAAAAGACTAAATTATGATCGAAAAAGATGATTTTCTTGCAGATAATACGCTCAATCTACCCTTTTGAGTTCATGAGCTTGGATTTGTACACATGCTCTAAGTGGAAATTTTCCGTTTGTGGTACTATTCTAAGTTTCGATCTTCATTCTGGGTTGAGATTCGTTTCACCCCAATATTCCGAGTCTTAGTTGCTGTCAATTTAGCCTCTGATTAGTCAAGAGTAAAGAGATTTATTTGAGATGAGAACCGTTAAAACTATTTTTCCGATACTGACGGAACTCAAATTTGGCTCAATTCGATCACATCTCTATGTTTCCTATCTCGATTGCCTAAACAAATTTGAACTCTGTTTGAACAGTCTCAAAATCGCGAACGATGTAACACTAACCGTCTTTATTCTCTACATAAATCTATCATCTGACGATGTTTTACCTGAATGGCGCTTCAAAGTTGATTTATAGTCTTAATAAAATATAGAAAGTTAAAATTTAACTATATAAATATTAAAAGGGTGTGAAGTGAGATAATTCTCAGTTGGTTTTAACAGAAAATGAGAATGTTTCTTCAAAGTCTAAACCGAATTCAATGAAAACTTTATTGAATTAATTCGCAGACCAACTTCTCCCTGTTATGCAGTTATAAATGAGAATACAACAAGCATTTCTATTTCTTCAACAACTTCTCTCGACTTTAGTGGATCGTGTATCTGCCTCCCTACTTTCTCTTCAGATGAAGTTTGTATCCCCAAAAGACATCATTTCACCGATAAACCCAAGTTTTCGCGTGGAGTAATGTTCACTTTGTAGCGGATTGCTCCACCAACTGGCAAGACCGACTCAACAACAAAGAGGAAACAGGTATTCAGCACAGAACAGTTCTATTTGGGATTTGTAAGTGTCTGTCTCAGAGATTAGTAATTAAACTACAATGAAGCTTTTGTTAAGCAATTACGTGTTCATTGATTAGTGTGAGCCTGAGAATTCCTGTTGTTCACTAAGCCACGATAAGTAGAACAATCGAATCCTTGAGTCTGTCTGTGTGGGCATGAGATTTTTTGTTCAACAAAGATACTGTTATCCGACACGCATTTGATCACAGCTTCCAAGTGCACCCTCAGCCACCCCCCACTCCCTCAACTAAGCCACCCTTGATCATTTTTGGTAGTTTATCTTGAAAAAATCACAACTACAAAAATCTACTTTCGTTCAAAAATGGTTCATTCAGCATTCTTATTCATAGTCGACTATCCAATCAGGTGACTTTCCAATCATTGTTGTGGAGCCATGAGATCACCTTGACACAGTGACTATCTCTGCCTCCAACAATTCTAGTTAGTGCCGCCGAACTTCCCTGCTTCCAGTTCAACTAAATTAAATCCTGCTTGATGCTCGACGGTTTTCGTAGCTTGTTGTGTTAAATGGATGCATTAAAAACGCAATTGCCAAAGCAGAAGAGCAAAATAAAGACAAAGGAGAAATATGAACAGCAAATGCGTGCAAATGGGCTCCAGGTGACACGATGGTAGGAATGCATGATTGATGGCAGTCATTTTGACACAGAAATATGCTTCCGTGCAAGCAGCATGGTAGTGAGGAAGATGGCATATATTTCGACGAACAATTCCTGATGCCATCTTCATAGTAGCCAAATTGAAATTCACGAAATCTAAGCAAAATCGTGGAAATGATCAAACACTCTGGTTAATGCAATAAAAACAATTAAGGTTAGAACATTTGGTCGTTTGCAGAAATTTTCACAGTTTCTTTACAACAAACTTGACTCAAATTATTTATTACTACTTTTAGGAATTCAGTAAGAGTAGACAAAAACGAAAAATTGGAAAGATAATTTTAACCGGAGAATGAAATCAAGCGTGTTCTCTTTTAAATGTATCTTTAAAAACGCATTTCAAAAGTATTAGCACATTCCAAGGCTAATTTATGGCAATATTTCATGATCAAAATTAACTGATTCTCAGCTTGAAAAACTCAATGGAATACTATTTACAAATATTGAACTTCCCTTCTAGAATTTTAATATTCATGGTCGCCTACCCAATCAGGTGTCCTTCCAGTCTTGTTGCAATGTGAAAAAATGCTCAAATTTCATGTATCATGGAATCACCTTGACACAATGACCACCTCCCCCTCCAAACAGTTCTTGTTGGTGCTTCCATACTTGCCTACTTCTAGTTCAACTAAATTAAATCCTGCTTGATGTTCCATAACACCTTTTGAAATGAAACGGCGGTCCATAAGAAGTCTGGTTCATTGCGCTTAATATCAATGTAAATGCAATGGACAGAGGAGAATAGTCACGTTGTGCACCCTGGTTAGCATGTGTTCACAAGGCAAAAGCCAATAAATCGGCAGTTGGCGACTTCAAACTATCATGACCTTATAACTGCCTGCAATGGGCCGGCAAGCAGTAAGTTGAAAATTGAATGGAGTGGAGGCAAACCACAAGTAGTATGACGAATCAACCCAAAGCATATGTGAAATAATCGGAGTAAATGCATGGGAAATTCAAATCCCTTTTAAGATGTATGCGGTCAAGAATTGACCCGAATACGATATTCTTAGCATCTCTCAAAAGAGGTTCAGTACCTGGAGACTTCAGCACCCATTCAATCAGATTGGACTATGAGAGCGGAAACAGAGTTCAGTAACAAAATGCAAAATGTCTACTTAATTGAGCAATGAAATCAAGTACAAAATATACCAGACTTTACTTGTGGTTTGCCCACAATTTGTTTGACATTGTGAAGTTGGCAGTTCGAGCTAGTTTGAACCAGGTAATGTAATACTCTCTCAAACATTCTGACAAAGTAGATTTCGATTTGGAGTCTTCAGGATGGATTCAGATGCGCACAAATGAAGGGAATTTAGATTGGACGGTATTTCCTGCATGCACTGTTTATTAGAGGTCTGGCAGTAAACTCGTGCCTTTGAAGCTTCGATTGCTGCTCCATCGACTCACACATCAAGGAAAGCTATTTCCGTTTCCCTTGTCTTCAATTGCCATTCCGTTGGGCTTATCTAAAGAGACATCTAACAGATTTCATGAGCTATTATAGATCCACATCATATCCTCCACCATACAAACACATATTTCGAATTCGATTGTAAAATACAATACGTTAAGCAATCAATTATTGTGTCACATTCTCCTCAAACACAAATTAAGTGTATTTTTGTGAAATTCAATTAGTTACGAAAGGGCGTGTGCTATTGAAGTGGTGCGATTGCTCCCCTAAGTCTACCATCCTTTCTTTCCAAGCGTAAACAACCACTTTGCTTTTCAATTGAATTATCAACGATGAAATTGATCAAGAAATTCTCTCTTATTTCGTAGGTAGTTTCAATTTATTGCTAGAGAAAATGATGCCAATTGATATTCCAATACTTGTAAATGCGTGTTTTCGTTAAACTTTCAATTTATTTAATTCTAGACCAAGGTCGGCGGTGCTATTCCTGCCCATAAACTTTTTCATTCTTAGCGTGCGCAACCACTCTGCTTTTCAATTAAATTTTCAAAGATGCAATTTCCATCTGAAATTCGACAAATTGATCTCGACCACCTCTCTAAATATGCGGATGGGTTCAATGTGATGCGACAAGAAATGGCACTAATCGATTTGTCAATACTCGTAAGTGCATATTCACGTCAAAGGGTCAACTTTTCTCAATGTAGACCAAAGGCGGCAGTTCTATTCCTGCCCATAAACTTGTCCTTTGTGCACAATTCCCAGCAATTAAGAACAGTATCTTACTGAGCAAACATTCCAACCACTCAAATTGGAGTCGTTTTCCAAATGAGTAGGTCATTGTTCTAACAACATTGCCAACTCATTAGCATTGTTATGGCTGTCATGGACTTCGCCTACACTGGCGAAATAATGATAAATGTTGAAAATGTTCTGGGGATATATCTGATGGCTCACATTCTTGGCTGCCAAAAGCTGATTGACTCGACAACGTATTTCATCAAGACAAGGTTCGTTTAGTCTAACTAAAATATACAAATTTTTTTGTGTGCGAGCGTCATTGGAACAGTCGCTAATGTAGACTTCTTGATTGTCAGACATTTTAAAATCAATAACTATATGTTAATTAACATGGATAGTAAAACACTAATTTTTGCAAGAGATGCAAGAAGATATTTTCTCACACTTAAAGTCCAATTTTTCGAAACGTCTACCCATACCCTAAACTTAATTGTCTTGTAGACTTGATCGACTTAATTTGATGGAGGTTTGGTCAGCCGGAAATGTCACTTCAAACACCGATCTCATTGGCGCCCGCATACCAAGAGTAGCATGTGACTTTGAGAGATTAGCCTCCAGTCAGCCTTTCCTCCAACACGTGGGAGTCGACCACCTTCAACTCTTACTGCAAAGTCCTTGGATTTGTGATGGAAACGAAACAGTGAAATTCAAGGCACTCTGCACATGGTTGCGTGTCTCGACCGTGAATACCGAACTCATTAAACGCGAAAGGCACTTCAAGCATCTTCTGGAGTTGATCAACATGAATAGATTGTCGAAAGAGTTTGTGATTGAAGCTTCATTGGGTGGATTAGATTTCAATTTGTCTGAAAATGCAAGGTGCTGTCTCATTTCCATGACTGAATATGTGTTCATTTAGGATAAAATTTCTAGACACATTAATGAAACCGAGTGGCGCAACATATTTTCCTGTATGAAATACATAACGTACTGCTCTTCATTTGTGAATGGTTGTCTTTCAGAGTATCATGGGTAATTTTAATGAATTCTCTTTGAAGTTTCAATTGAGTTACCATCGATTTTTTTAAATCAAATTTTATGAGTAACACATTTTGAAGCAGGTAAACAGATTGAAATTTCCACTGAATAGTTAAGACCAATTGATGGATAAGCGGATTTTAGAAGGTCATTTGCTCAGGACACTTCAGATCTCTTGTACTTTCTGCATTAAATTCTGTTGACAAGTTGCAAGAGAGAAAACAAGAAGATTATTTTGACATTGGAAATTGCTTAAACCGATGGGAACAGAAACACCCGAATTTTGTTGTTGGCAATAATTCGGAGGCTATTTCACAAAATTTGAAAAATTAAATAGAGAGGTTCCACCACTTCCTCCATCTTTGAGAGACTTTACCCAACAGATTATCACATCTTCAGGCCTATTGAGTTTATTTTGAGAAATGTGCGATTTCCATGAATGCCGTATTTGGAAATACCAGATCTCCTCAAAGAGACCTTCAATAAAATTTGAGTTCGACGAGAAAGATGTGTAAATTTTTTCCCGCAAATTGCCTTGTATGCCCTATTTAATTATAAATGATACTTTTAATAGCCAATGATGTCTATATCTAAGCCCAATTTGAGGAGGGTCAATAGAGCGTGATTGATTAAAACACACAATTACTTACTCTGGTGTGTCAGTCGGCATTCAATCCAAGTATTGAGCTTCTTAATTGAAACTTTAAGTCATACTGACCATTATTTGATGAAAGATCTACATTTCGTTTTGCATTGTTGCCTCAAAATTGATATTGCTTCAAACAAATAGGTATGAAAGTGTGGCCAAACCTTTCCTTCTAACTTTCCCATGCCCAATATCTGTTTTCCACGCGGTCTTCATCAATATTAAAAGAAATGGGGTGTGGGATCGACTTACCTTCTCGTTGTGCATCCTGGGCAACGTATAATCATACGGCAAAAACGTCTATTAACAGGCAGTTGACTTCTCACTTCAAACTACCATCACTCCACTGTATGTCATATTCGACCTCTACCACAGTACTCATCTTACCGTTTCTGAGCCTTTGTGTCTGTCTGTTTCTTTTACATCTGTAAATCACTCTTCTTTCCCCCCTCCCGAATTCTTCTCACTTTGATGTTCCTCCT